GATGGTGTGCCCCTACAAGTAAAGTCATAATATAAATATACATTTACATATCATGAATTCATGATGGTTAAATTAAGCATAAATTAATGTGGTAATTAACCCAGGTAAAAAAAAAAAGTGCACTAAAATGCACTTTATTTTAGTAGACTTAACAGTAATGTACTAAAAGTGCTCTATTTTCGCACACTAATTTGTACTTAATGTACTAAAGATAGTATTAGGTATATGTTAAGATAAACTTAATACCATCTAAGTGTACTCAAATGTGCTATTTTGAGACACCATGAAATTGAACTAAAATGTGCTTTTAACATACTATATCTGTATTTAAAAAAAAAAAAAAAAAAAAAAAAAAAAAAATATATATATATATATATATATGTATATATTTAGTTACAACTAGAAATACACTTGAACCCTACTTTTAAACATTTAAATATATTTATGACTAAATTAAAGTATAATCCGTCCTTACATTCAGAATACAGTGATATTTATGCTAACAGAATCAACAAACCTATGTCATTAGATTGTTTAGACATCCTCACGTAATTGGTTAGACAAAAGATAATTAAGTAGAAGGATAAACAGTCCAGAACAATTTTAGAATATGCAATGTAAAACATGTTTCCTTAGATTATCATGTTATTGACTACACTGGATTCCCAGAGATGGGTTGCGGCTGGAAGGGCATCCACTGCGTAAAATCTTGCTGGATAAATTGATGGTTCATTCCGCTGTGGCGACCCCGGATTGATAAAGGGACTAAGCCGACAAGAAAATGAATGAATGAATGACTACACTGGATATACACAAACATATCATCCCTTCTGCATACCCATTCTTAGCTTTCCTGATCATTCCTTGACCTACAGCACACACATACTTCAAGACAATAATGTTTTGGTAAGATTACCACACTCAAAATCAATTTAAGTGTTAGTCATAATAGTGCATTCACTTTAAGTGTACTTAAGTACAACTTTTGGGAAAATGTACTTCTACTACAATACATTACTAATAGATTTTTTATATATTAACTTATTTTAAACTTAGAATTAGTATGTATACAGTGCACTAAAAATCAACTAATTTTTAAAGCATTTAAAGCACACTTTTTAAAAACACAATAATAAAAATCTTTTGGATGTTTTATCCTGTAGTGTACTTTATTGTAGTACACTGAAAAATTATTTAAATATTACTGGTATTTGGTATACTTTTGTCAAGTGTACTAAAGTCCTACTGAAGTATAAAAATACTTTTAATTAGTATATTTATAGTGTAAAACCATCAAACATTTATTTAACACAAAAAAATAACAAAGTACTAAAAATGTATTTGTGGGTATTTAAGTGTATTTTAATTGCATTTAATTATATATTTTTTTCACCTGGGAATACATGAATTCTATCAACAAGTAATTAAGGCTGCCATTATTCACACATGAACTCACATGACTCATATTGTAGTTAAAGTTAGTTCATGATTAGCGCATGCATTTACTAGTCATCAGTTCATAATTAAGTAATGTTTAGTTTACATCATTATACATGTACTGTTATTGTAGTGTTACCTATTAATTTCAGAGTCCAACGCCTAACTCTATTTTAACCATAAACCACTTCTTAAATCAAATGACCAGCCATAATCATATCCATAACCACAAAACCAGATTTGTTAATTAATCTAGTTACACGTATTGCTGTACAAAATCATTACTCATGTGCCATATGTGCACCGTATGTATTATAACAACTTAGATCTGATCTCAGCATTTGGCGTGACTCTAAATAATAGCTCTTAAAGGGTAGTAATAATCAAATTCAGTGAGAGTTTTACGTGTCCCTCAGAGCCCGTGCTAGACTATATTAAGAACGGCTCTGATACAGCACGTAATTGATTTGTGAAACATTATTCATCATTAACGCTTTGCTGTCTTAATACGTAACCAAGCATGACGTCCAATCATGACAGAATATTGGAATTCATTTCAGCACAGATGTGACAAATTGGTAAAGAATGGCTAGACCTCAAGAGACCAGATTCACACAGCAGGACCTCTATTAAAATCTCTATTAAACTATCAAGACTCTTTAATAGAGCAAATCTGGGCACTCGCTGCCTCAATTTTCTCTGCTGGAGTGTTTCTTGCCAAAAAAAGACAGCTCAAACTACTATTGCTTCACTCCGAACTGAGCTTAAAGGCATTATTATTAAAATTAAAACAGTAAAACAGTTATTTATTTATAAGCTGACTTATGTACTTACAGTATCCCAAATGTTTTAAAGAATGATCAAATCCAGAGAAAAATTTTAAAAAGCTGTTTAACTAGTTATGGGGTGTGACATGACTTCATACAACCTCAATTTCTGTTGGTTTAATATGAAACAGGGAAACACCAAAGATGACTTAATATGTTGTTCACAATATTAGCCTGTGTAAGTATGATTAGTGTGATAGAACACTGCTTCTGCCAATGTGTGTAAGAATAACTAAATAAAAGCTTCGCTGCCCTTCTAAAAAGAAAAAAAAAAACAACAGCTTAAGGGGCTGATCACACCCAACGCACTTTTACATTCCAAAAAACGCGAGGTGCACCACACTGCATTTTTTGGTAACAAGAAAAAAAAGAAGCGCGGCGCATTTTTATGTTGCTAGGCAACAACTGAATCAGCTGCGTATGGTGCGCGACTGTTGCTGTTGATATTAATATAATTTTAAAATTGAATATTATTGTGATATTCAAGATTTGTGAGTCATATAGCACTGGATAATTCAAAACAGCAACCACAAGTCTTTTCTCTTCAAGTCTCCTTAGTTATCTTGATAACACAAATACTGCAACAGAAACCCTGCCTCTGCTTTCATTTGATTAGAAAATGAAAAAGACGAGATTGATTTAAAAGGCTTTTTCCGCTCAGAGTTGACTCTGTCAACTGTGAGCACACAGCGCACAATGGCAGAAATGCGAGGCACGCAGGGCGCATAAGAAGTGTGCAAAACGTTTGCAGCCATTAGTAAACCATTCAAAAAAGGCAAAAAACGTGTTCTGTGTGATCGGCCCTTAAACCAGCCTAAGCTAGTTGGCTGGTTTTAGTTGGTCAACCAGGGGTGTGTTTTTTTCAAAAACCACTGTTAGCTAACTAAGGTCACAAACATAATTATTTGATTTAGCGATTACAAATTCGTTGTTCCAACGAACATTCCCAAACTGCATTGTAAACTTATATGCTTGCAACCTTACCTCTAGAGCTGTAATCATTCCCCCTAAGCCCTATTCATTTAGAACCTTAACATTTAAACTTGGAATTATAAAAAAAAACAATTACGTCATCTCTCGTAGATGTAATTTGTTTTCAAAGTATTTTTACAGTTTAGTTTTAGCGATCTTCATGTTTACAATTGCACTTCCTACGCAGTGCACTCTGAAAACATTGATGTCATTTTGAACACAGCCGTGGCTCATGACGAAAGCTGTAGGTGACCTACCTATTATTTAAAAGCGGAATTTACCTTACATCTTCAAAGCTAGTGAAAATTTAAAATTATAGCATACGTTAATGCTTTTAATTTATATTTATTAAGTATGTGTACTGTATATGACCTGGGCCTGTTGGTTAGAACATTTCTGCAGTGGTCTGCATGTGTCAAATTGTAAAAGTAGACTTTAAAAAAAAATAAATAAATAAACAATAGGCCTTATCCTACTTACTAATAATAATAATTATCATCATCATTATTATTATTAAAGTAGGATTTTTTTAATTTCCTAATAAATAATATATAATAAATGTAATTTCTTAATAAACAGCCTTATTATTTATTTATTTATTTATTTGTTTATATGATTTATATATGATATTAGAATACGTATTAGCTTTTGTAAGTGATTTTATGCTTATTTAGAATAGACTATGCAATATTCTCAATAAAATTTCTAAAGGAAACATGCCCTATATGTGCTATATTTACATAAATTTTCAATTCATATGGAAAACGAGTGCATGTTTTTACCAAAACTAATTATGATTTTTTAGCCAAAACCAACTATGTCTACCTTGAACCAGGCTGGTCAAGCTGGTTTTAGCTGGTCATTTTCCAGCTTGACCAGCTAAGACCAGGCTGGAAATGGCTGAAACTAGCCGGAAAATGACCAAAATCCCTCTAAAACCAGGTTGGTTTAACAGCTAAAACCACCCAATCAGCTTAGGCTAGTTTAAGCTGAGGTTTTTTCAGCAGGGTTTTGTGCCATACTGTGCTCGTCTTTCATCAGAATTGCTTAAGCGCTCCTGTTTTACTACGATAACTTTCAGCCTTACTCTGCTTTATACTATCATGATAATAAGCGATTAACACTTCAGCTCATCTATGAACACGATTTCTGAAAGACTTCAGCAAACTATGGCTTCATTTGTTGTTAATATGTGCCCTCTAGTAATAATACACCATTGAAACGGTTTAAAAACATTACGTTCTTTAATTTCGTTTCCGAAACTGGCGTCTGACATACACAAAAACATTTAACATTTTCAGAGATAAAACTCATCCTCTAATGGACCACAGTCCATTTTCAAATAATGTCAAGTGTGAGATTTGAGCATAAATATATATAAAAAGAAAAAAAAGTTGTATACAGACAACACCACTTTGTGATGCCTTGCTGATGTATACATAAGGACAAAATACAGGCTTTGTTCCAAAACCTAATCAGCCTCGCTGTCTATACATAGGCAGAAGCCTTCTAGGTAGTAGTGTAACTGTGGTGAACATATACCTGACTGATTGATTAGCCTACTATGCTAATAGCAAAATAGCACATATGCTTCAGTGCTAAGCTAGTAGCAATATAGCACACATACATCTCCGAGATGCTGTTAAAATAGCATTCAACTGAATAATTATATCTAAAACACATTCTATTTCTGAAAATAAGATGTTTAAGCACATTTTCTTCACTTGTTTACTCTTTGACTTTTGATGAAAAACAGGAAAATTGTTGTAATTTATTTAGCTTTAATAAGGCAATATTTCCAAATGAACAAAATACATACAGTACAAACATGTGCACACCGTATTGTTCAGAGCGCGCCTGTTCATGTTTCGGCATTCCACTTAGTCATCTTTCAGGATGGATAAACTTCAGCTTTTTTGGGCTTACTGTAGCATTCTTTGTAGTTGTTTTTATATACTGTGCTATTTATGCATGAATCAAGCCTTTGTCTGTATCTTTGTATAAACAATAGCTCTTCTGAAATATGCTTTGCTGTCCTTGCTTCAGGTTTTCCCATGATTCATTCTGGGAGGAATTTTAATAAAAAAAACCATGAACATTGTGTTGTTTACTCACCCTTTGCTTGTTCCAAACCTGTTTGAATGTTTTCTGTTGAACAGAAAAGAAGATATTCTGAAGAAAGCTGGAAACGTGATTATTGACTTCCATAGTGTTTATTTATGGATTTCAAAGAGTACACGTTTTTTTTATTTTTCTTTAAAATGCCTTCTTTGCGTTTCACAGAATAAAGAAACACCTTAAGGTTTGGAACCACCCAAGGGTAAGTAAATATGAGTAAACTTTTGGGCAAACTACACAGTTAAAGTCAGAATTATTAGCCCCCCTTTGAATTTGTGTTCTTTTCTAAATATTTTCCAAATTATGTTTAATAGAGCAAATAACTTTTTACAGTTTGTCTGATAATATTTTTTCTTCTGGAGACTTGATTTTTGAGTTTTTGATTTTTGTGAACAATTTTAAGGTCAAAATTATTAGCCCCTTTAAGCTAATTATTTTTTTATGATAGTCTACAGAAAAACAATCGTTATAAAATAACTTGCCTAATTACCCTAACTTGCCTAGGTAACTTAATTAACCCAGTTAAGCCTTTAAATGTCACATTAAGCTTTATAAGTGTCTTGAAAAATATCTAGTTAAATATTTTTTACTGTCATCATGGCAAAAATAAAATAAATCAGTTATTAGAGATGAGTTATTAAAACAATAATGTTTAGAAATGTATTGAGAAAATCTGCTATCTGTTAAACAGAATAGAGAAAAAAACAAATTGGGGAAAATGGGAGAAAAATAAACAGGGGGGCTAATAATTCAGGGGGGCTAATCATTCTGACTTCAACTGTACATTACACACATAAACACACACGTTGAATCAAACATTCCTGTTTAATTCCACTGATTTATTTATTTATTTTTTGTAGATATAGGTTTCAGTTACTGATAGTTAAAATAAACCTGTGCAACCATCCCGAATGGAACCTTCGAAAGCAGTTCACTAGGTTTTGGAACAGAAAAAAATATATACATTTCCGAATGTCAGCCCACCAAGCATTTTTAAAAGACATCAACTAGATGTATAAACGCAGGCATCCTGGCTAAAACAAGTCATCAAATAAACATATTAGACAGACTTCACCTCTGTATTCATTCATTCCTGTCTATTTTTTAACTACTGTTAGACATCTTTTAGATTTTCACTATTCACTGACAGTCCAAACATAGCCTTGTATTAGCCAAGATGTCACAGTTTAGACGTCTATTAGACGCCTTTTAAAGAAACACTCCACTTTTTTGGAAATTTTACAATTCCCCTAGAGTTAATCCATTCAGCCAATCTCCAGGGAGCACTTTTAGCTTAGCTTAGCTTAGCATAAATCATTCAATCGCATCCAGACCTTTAGCATCCAATTAAAATATTTCAATCAAGAGTGTCAATAATCTTCCTATGTAAAGCTTGACTATTTAAAGATGAACAATTTGTATCTTTTTTAATTTAGATGCCAATGGCCTATAATCAAATTCAATGATTCATGCTAAGCTAAAATAAAAGTGCTTCTACCATACCTAAAGATCAGCTCAGTGGATTTAAAAATGGTAAACTGTTTAACTCTAGGGGAGTTATTTAAAAAAAATGAAGCGCTCCTTTAAACAATAACAAAAAATGCTTGTATAGTGTGAACACAGCGCTAAATTCTCATATCTATTTACAAAAGACTTATTCTAAGATGGTATGCTAATGAATAAGCAGAAAATGGCTTCATATATGAGAAAAGGCAAAAAAAAAAACAAAGGACATTTGCTGTTCTAAGTTTTGATGATGGTTGGGTTTGGAAGTGTTCATTATGATTGATTTCTAGATTGAGTGCGACTCCAGACACACTCTCAGTAAAAGTCTGAGAACCAGCTCAAGGTGAGCGTGAGGGTGGTCAAGGGTCGATCTCTTCAGGAATGATGGTGAGGATAATGTCTTCATTTCCGCGCCGTACCACTGCTCTCAGGCTTTCGTCTGTCTTGATGGCCGTGCTGACGTCGCTGGCCGATGTGATCCTCTGACCGTTAATGCTGATTATGACGTCACTCTCCTTCAAACCGCCACTAGAAAACAAAGCAAGAAGCAGTTCAAACTGACCTGTTTTTAAGAGTGCCAAACGCTTTAGCTAAAGTCCTTTATTGGCTTTGGAGTCTTTTATTCACATTGGATTTCCAATACAAAACATTATTAGGTTTTGTTACATCAAGGCGCTTATGTCATTATGATGTCATGTTGCAGAATTTAAAGCTATGGTAAAATTAGGAAAACACTTGAATGTTCTGTTTGTTAGTTGTATTTGTTTTGAAATTAACCCTCTGACTCACTTCTATAAATTAGATTTTGAATTTTGAAAAACATTACTGCTTTCTCAAAATGGGCAGAAAATTTGTGACTTTTTGGCAATTTGGAGTGTAAATAAACGTACAAAAGTGCAAGATTCGAGCAGGCAAATTGGTCATAAGAATTGTCACACTTGTTACTTTTGGTCAAAAGTGACCAACCTAGAGGTAATGAAAGGGAAACTTACAGAAACACAAAATATCTAAGAATTTTTGTGTGTATAATCTACAAATCAGTTACAATACTGACGCTCTGGTATTCTCTTTCCTACACAATGTTCACTTCAAATCACTATTTCTAACAATATATATATATAGTTGAAGTCAGAATTTTTAGCCCCCTTTTGATTTTTTTTCCTTTTTTAAATATTTACCAAATAATGTTTGACAGAGCAAGGAAATTTTCACAGTATGTCTGATAATATTTTTTCTTCTGGAGAAAGTCTTATTTGTTTTATTTCGGCAAGAGTAAAAGCAGTTTTAATTTTCATAAAGCCATTTTTGGGACAAAATTATTAGCCTCTTTAAGCTAATTTTTTTTTTTTCGATAGTGTACAGAACAAACCATTGTTTTACAATAACTTGCCTAATTACCCTAACCTGCCTAGTTAACCTGATTAACCTAGTTAAGCCTTTGAATGTCACTTTAAGCTGTATAGAAATGTCTTAAAAATATCAAGAAAAATATTATTTACTGTCATTATGATAAAGATAAAATAAATCAGTTATTAGAAATGAGTTAATAAAACTATTATGTTTAGAAATGTGCTGAAACAATCTTCCCTCCATTAAACAGAAATTTGGGAAAAAAAATAAACAGGGGTGCTAATAATACAGGGGGACTAATAATTCAACTGTATATATATACACATTGTGTATATATATATAATACATTTATATAATACATATAATACATTGTGTACACACACTGTACACTCTACATTCACACACACACACACACACACACACACACACACACACACACACACACACACACACACACACACACACACACACACACACAAATATATATAAAAAAGAAAAAAATCAAAGCGAGGCTAATAATTATGAATTCAACTGGTCTTACGGTTACGATTATCATGCCATCGATTCGGTTCAGTTTGATACCTCGGTGCATCAAGATGCAGTGATGTTGCTTTCCTTTCACAATTATATATTTTTTTCTTTACAACACAAGATTTTTTTTTTTTTTATTGAAATCTATAAATATATTTAGATTTTTTTTATTATTTGGTATACAATTTTGTCTGTTAATACAAGTAATCAGATATTTTTTTGAGAGAGAGAGAGAGAGAGAGAGAGAGAAAGAGAGAGAGAGAGTGAGAGAGAGAGAGAGAGAGAGAGAGAGAGAGAGAGAGAGAGAGAGAGAGAGAGAGAGCGCGCTTTCATTTTCTCCCTAGTAGTGTAATAGCGACTCGTGTGCTGTACCTGTGTCAGTGAAAAACTGTCCCGCAAACTTACAAGCAGTGAATTGTGCACAATTATTTGCTTTTTAACTAGTTGGAGCATTTTATTTACTCGTTCTAGCCTCCTTTGCCATAGTATTCTACAACAACATAGCGTATATGAGATAAATTACATCAGTAACCGGTTATGATTTATTACTGAACCGATATCGAATTGTTCACACTTACATTGCGGTGCATCAAAGAAACAATTGATTTTTGACACCTCTAATATATAAATAACTTTAAGATTGTTTGAATTTATATAAAAATCATAAGAGTGATTCCGATTTCTATGTGACAAGAGAGTTCAGTGAAATTGAAAAAAAATATATATATACAATAATAATTCTGGGTTTTTTCACTAAATACTGATTGCTTATGTCTTCTGACACCCCTGGTTTAGGCAAACACTTGGTTTGAACGACCGTTGATGTGATAAATTATGTATTTCAGCTTGTAGCAAAAGGGTCTTGAAGGGACTGGAATGTATCAAATACTATAGCATTTGACTTGATGAGAAAGCAAAGTTTAATGCGGTGATGTGAAACCATCATTGGTTTATTAGGCTTGAAGTGACACACCTAAAGATTTCATTCATTTATTAATTTTCTTGTCGGCTTAGTCCCTTTATTAATCCGGGGTCGCCACAGCGGAATGAATCGCCAACTTATCCAGCACATTTTTTTTTACACAGCGGATGCCCTTCCAGCTGAACGCATCCCTGGGAAACATCCACACACTTATTCATACACACACTCATACACTACAGACAATTTAGCCTACCCAATTCACCTGTACCACATGTCTTTGGACTGTGGGGGAAACCGGAGCACCCGGAGGAAACCCACGCAGGGAGAACATGCAAACTCCACACAGACACACCAACTGCGCTGAGCCGAGGTTCGAACCAGCGACCCTGCGACCTTCTTGCTGTGAGGCGACAGCACTGACCTAAAGATTTGAATGTTTATATATTCTAAATGTGTCTGCTTTGGAGCAAACTAGGTTATAGATTGCCTTAAGACGAATATATTGAAATGAACACTTAAAACGTTCATGTTGATTCCATGGGGAGTTAAATCACTGGTATTGTTTGATTATAAGCACGTCTGCAAATATGGTTTTCCTTTTTCCAGCTGCATGTACCATTACATTCTTTTGCTTGTGTTTTTTTACGCACTTCTCATTTGAAATTATTTTATCCCTGAACATTCTGTTTAACTGTGTTGTTTTGCAATTCACCATTTAAAATGGTTTAGTTTGTCTGACCATATTTAACGCAGATGTAAATCAAACAATGCTCAAGTTTATCTTTTATTCTTTATTAATATTGCATTATGTTCACATTTACATTCATGTAAAATCAACCCTGAATTGTTCTAAAAGTGGACAGGTTTTATTTCTTTTTACAGATTATATTTACTTCAATCTATCACCCCTGGACTTTTTGTTAAACCCTAATATATCTTGATTTTTGCCATCTAAAAAAGGTTTGATTGCTTCTGACATTATATTTAAAGGTTCCATTTTAGATTTGGGTAACAGTATAACAGTTTAACATAAAAAATCAAATTTTTCCTCTCTTGAAAGTTCAGCAGCAACCTTTAGTTCTTAAAACGTTCATGCTTTCGTACTCCAAGCACTATTTCTTCCGAACTAGCCATTTTGACACAGTTTGACATTTAATTCATGGCAATTTTCTGTAGATTTTCTGACCACAGACAGTTTTTTGCTTCCAAACAAAAAAAAGTTAAATGCTGCTACACGCAACATTAAACCATTTAGTTCTAAATGGGCAACCCACAATGACAGGAAGTGGACACTTATGGACTGGTCACATCATCAGATGTATGCTACAATGATGTGGAAACCTATGTCTGCTGGAGAGTAGATGCTCACCCAGACACAATAAAATTGATGGTCAGGCTGGAAAATGACCAGCCAAATCCAGCTAAAACCAGCTTGACCAGCCTGGTTTAAGCTGGACAGCTGGTTTTGGCTGGACTCCCAACTTGACTAGGCTGGTCAAGCTGGCTTTAGCTGGTCATCTCCCAGGCTGACCAGCTAAGACCAGGCTGGAAATGACTGGAAACCAGCCTGGAAGTGGCCAAAACCCCTCTAAAACCAGCCTGGTCGACCAGCTAAAACCAGCCAACCAGCCTAGGCTGGTTTAAGCTGGATTTTTCAGCAGGGGTATAGTATGGAAGTTTGCGGTATCGAACGCAGCCCTTGTTTTCAGCTGCCATGCCCCCTTGTTTAGCCCTTGTCTATAGTTCTCGTTAGTCTCAGTGTTTACACCTGGTCCACATGTTCTTCCCTCCCTGTATAATGTTCTCTCTTCCCTCATGTCTTTGTTGGTTCATTGCTTCTTGTTACATGTTGTTGACTGACCGTGTTCAGTTATCTGTGCTGTTGTTTGTTAGGGAGTTGTCTTTTGTCAATGTTTGCTTGTGTTTTTCAGTTGGCCTTCAGTATCATCCCAGTCTGGTTAATCCTTTTACAAGTTTGTATGTTTAAGTTATTCTATTAATCTTATTTAGTAGTTTTAAGTGTTTAAGTTAGTTCCTTTTTATTGGTTTTATTTCTTCAGTAAGTTAAAACTAATTCAGTAAGTTAAAACTAATTTTATTTATCTTTGGTTTTTAGTTTGTCAATAGTTTCTGTATTAACTTTTTTTTTTTTTTTTAATTAGTTTATTGTCCCCAATCTGTCTTTGTGTGTGTGTGGGTGTGTGCGCGTGTGCTGTCTTTGTCTAGCCCTGCCTGCTGTGAGTCCCTGAGTGCTGGTGTACTGTGGGCTGCTAGTGGCAAGTCCACTCTTCAGGATCGCTGGTCAGCAGTGCATCCAAGGCCTTTACCACCTCTTGCCTGGACTTGGCATCACTGCTCAGTCTCCTGTTCTCCTGACGTTTTGTGGCTGTTGTTTACTCCATCCAGGACTCTCAAGCACTGTCTCCTTTGTCTGTCGGCTCCATCCAAGATTCCCCAGCACTACCCCATCCATCACCGTTGGACTGTTTCACCTTCCCCTACCTCATTTCACATTGTCAATAAATACCATTACAATAAATAATTATTATAAATTGAAACATGCTTAAAACTACATATAATAATGTGCAAAACCGAAGGAATTATGAATTTTTGTATGTGTTTTCAGCAGATTATATTAATAACTGTTTTTGCAGTTTTTTTTGCTGTATCTGATCTGTACCACATGGATGAATGAATAAAATCGTAATTGGGTCACATGAACCGTTAGGTGTAAATAAATCTTAGTTTGGTCTCCACGTCTGTTTGCGCATGTGTCAATTAAAAAAATTCAGCCTTGATCAGATCCTGAATCATGGAAAATCATGGAAACTGCTAGTTCAGTATGGATATAGATGTCACACAAAATAGTATTCAAAATTAAATTAGAAACACTGAACCTGGAATAAAGCACATAATCAGACCTGAGGTGATCGTCAAAGTCATTTATGCTGTTTTTCCAGCCACACTGTTGCAGAAATTTTCTGTCATCAAAGTGGATGGTTAGGACAGAAACTATTTTTAACATGGCAAAGAAAGCTTTTATCACGTCTCAGCACTGCATTGCATTTAACTCTGGCATTTCCTAGTCCTACAAAGGTCCAGGTTAGTACCAATAGATTGATCTTTTATTAAAATGTAATATACTGTTCAGCTTTTGAAACAACTTGAAATGCCTATATAATAGTATTTTTGTTTATATATCATAATATATGTCCTTTGGAAACCCTTGACAGCAGACATGTTTTGACATTTACATTTATACATCATCTGAAAGCTGTACAAAGAGCATTTTGTACATCACCCGAAAGCTGTACTGAAAGCATTTATACATCACCCGAAAGCTGTACTGAAAGCATTTATACATCACCTGAAAGTTGTACTGAAGGCATTTATACATCAGCTGAAAGCTGTTAATATTTGTCCAAAATACAACAGTTAGAAAATATGGAATCTGAGGGTTAAAAAAAATCTTAATACTGAGAAAATCGGCTTTATATTTGTCCAAATGAAGTTCGTAGAATTGCATATTACTAATCATAAATTTAGTTATCATACGTTTCTTAAAAAGAAATGTTCTAATTGTCTTCATGCCACAGCGGAATGAACTGCCAACTTATCCAGCATATGTTTTATGCAGCGGATGCCCTTCCGGCTGCAACCCATCTCTGGGAAACTTCCATAAACACTCATTCACTCATACACTTTGGACAATTTTAGCTTACCCAATTCGCCACAGAATGTAATTATTCCTGTAATTTTATAGATTCTTTATTGACGTGATAAATAAACTACTAGTCAGTCATTTGGCTAATTGCCGAAAATATAGTCATGCAACTTTATATGTTAGCTGTGGTTTGTCATATACACACACACACACACACACACAACGGACAATTTAGCCTACCAGATGTCTTTGGACTGTGGGGGAAACCGGAGCACTCAGAGGAAACCCACACGAACACCCATATATATATATATATATATATATATATATATATATATATTTATATATTTATTTATTTATTTATTTATTTATTTATTTATTTATTTATTTATTTATTTATTTATTATTTTTTGCAGTAGTAATAGTAATAATTAGATTAAAAAAAAAAATCAAATACATTGGTAATGCTTAATTTAAATTCATGCATTTAGTGCTACTCCTCCCTCAATAACAAATGCCTGAGAGCAGTTTAGTTTATCCCCATGAAGCAGGAGGGTTCTGTCTCTGTTGCTCCTCCTCCTCTAAGTACTGAACAAAATACAAGTATACACACATGGATTAAATAATGTCCATAATTTATTGTCATAAATAATGCACCTAGAAGTGCAAATAAAAACCCAATAAAGGTTAAAAATAACCCAACAAAGCACCAAATATTTTTAACTCAACCACTGGGTTATATAAATAACCCAACATTTTTTTTAGAGTGTAGCTACGTGTTTTAAGCATATCACTCATAGATTCTATGTGTTCAAGTGTTTTCTCTCCCTGGTGTGTGAAGTCAGATTGTAATCAGTTTGGTTTCCCCTTTGTTTCTCTGCGTTTGTTTGTTGCCTTGGTAGTTTATTAGCTGTTTTGTAAAGGGTGTCTGCATGTGATGGGCTACTCACACTTCAGCTGGTGTTTTGGGAATAACTTCAATGACGTAAGCACCAGAGGTGACATCTGGGAAATCATTTTTTCTCTGCTTTAGCTCCTTAGCAAGTCTATGAGAAACAGATTCTTAGTACAAACACAAACGCCATGTCTGTTTGCATGAATTATCGACAATACAAGTTAAAATGACTTGTTTAGATGGCCGACTCATTTCATTTAAACATTCCTCCATATTCACAAACGTACAAGTGTGTACAGAAAGAAAACAGTATTTTAGACTCACGTTGGAGTTAACGTCATCATCCTCACACCAATATACTTCTTTTTTGTGGCTGTTTTTCCTGAAAAGTAATACAAGATATTGATAGAATTGTGAATCAAGTTTAGGGACTGATTTACTAGCAGCTAGCACCAGTGCAAACCTTATTTTGGTTTTCAATATAATACTGTCAGCAACACTGTTAACATTTTTCTTTGTAAATTACACAGTATTTAGCCGTAATCTAAACATTTTTTTTTTACTGTAGGACAGTTGTGCAGTATGTAACTGCATTTTAAAGTTGTGTTATAAAAGATACAAAATACTGAAAATACACAGACAGCAAGATAAATGGTGCAGTAAATATAAATACAGTTTTTTTTTTTGCTTGCTGAATTGAACTGCTGCCAGTAAGTTACTGTAGATTCTACAGGGAATTGTTAACAGTGAATGTCACAAAAGACACTTTGCCATGGAAGCGTGTTATTTTGAGCCATATGGAAATCATGTATGATAATAATATCTTGTTGCAGCGAATTTAGAATTATTTGAGGTCCCAGTAAATTATGTTTGCACTGTATACTCTGTTAAACACACATATACACAAACATGGAGTGTGTATGGATTAAAGTATTGTTTTCAAAAGGAACATTGTTCACAAGGACAAATGATTTCATTGAAAATGTTAGTGTCGTCAGTTTTTTCCAGAGTACAATAAAAAATATGTTTTACTAAGGAAATAATTGTAAATTGTGAAACTGGGAATTTAAAGTAGTTTCTTGCCTTTTCCATGTATGTACATATGTCCAATAGGGCTGCATGATTAATTGAAAAAAGATCAGAATCTCAATTCAACTCTACACACGATCTTAATTCTGCTTTTCTACACAGCAAATTCATTAGTGTTAAATTTCGAGTGTTGCAGTAATTCAGAGTAAAGTGTTGAAATTCTAGAGTTAGATAAAGATAAATTAACCCTCTCAGTGTTAGAAGCTGATTTGCCTCCTTGTCATACAAAGTAACATGTATCTAACGCTAATACAGTGTTGACTACTACATCCGAGAATTTATGCAGCAATATCCTGGTAGGATTTTTCCAGACGCCATTTTCTTTTGCCATGAGGAGCAATGAGAAGAAGTAACTGGTGATTAAAGTGTTTGTATATAGACATCTGACATCCAAATAGTTATATATATGTTAGTTTTAAATATCTCAAAGAAAAGCATAATTTTTCATCTTTATTTTGTACTAACCATGTTACATTAAAACTAAAGAAAATCTTAAAACTGCTCCTTTTGGTTAAAATACGAGAAATATGGTTTGTGACTGTTTTGAATCATTTCCTTAAACATTAAGCGAATAGTTAATAAAGTGTTGCTGATATTAAACAAGATATTTTTTTTATTTATGTGCGGTGTTGAAAATTTGATCTATAAGAGTGTTAACACATAACACTGATCCTTTTGTGGTGTTAATATTTTACACTATAAGAGTTTGCTAATTAACACTGTCTGAGTGTTGATAATGTTAACGCTTACAATAGTGTAAATTTAAGACTTTTATAGTGGTTGCCATATAAACTCTGAGGGAGTGTTAATTTGAACTCTAAGGTAGTTAAATCTACTATCTAAAATTTGCAGTGTCTGCCAGATTGAGCCAATTTTATTTTCAAGGTCAGGAGAGTAGCGTAAAGATGGTTGCACACATCTTTACATTGTTTTATATAGGTTGCTCAGCAACATGAACACCTCCATATGGTGTTAAACGTGTCACATACTGTAATTATAAGGTATAATAATAACAATAAAAAAATGGTCAAGATCAAACATTTTTGTGGCTGACTTCACTGCATTTGCAGCTTTCCTTGCGTCTGAAAATGTATGAGGAGAGTTATTAAAGGGATGGTTCGCTGCAAAATGGCTGGTTTCAAACCTTTGTGAGTTTCTTTATTCTGTTGAACAAAAAAAAAAAAAGAAAAAAAAAGAAAGAAAGCTGTAAACCTGTAACCATTGACTTCCATAGATGGAACAACAAATAGTATTTTTTCAGCATTTTTCTAAATATCTTCTGTTGTGTTGAACAGAAGAAGGAGAAATACTGGTTGTGAACCAGTGAAGGGTGAGTAAATGATGCCAGAATGTTGGTTGAACTATCTCCCTAAATCATGTAATTTGATTTACTGAGGTTTGCGGTAGTCTGTTTACTGGCATTTTGTAACCCCCCCCCCAAAAAATTGTGACTCATTTTTTTGTACTTGACATGCTGATGCTGTAAGAGGAATGCAAAGAGTAGAAAGCTAAGTGTAAAACATTCTCTTCATTTCAAAAAGAAGACTATTCGCAACATATTGATTACCATGTCACATTATTTTTAATTTGTGATGCTTTTAGTTGACTGCATTTGTCTCTGGTAAAATGAGCTGAAGCATCTTTCTTTAATCTGCACATTGGCAGTAGAATTACCTACAGAGCTTTGCGCTCCTATCAGCACTTCCAAGTAAAATTTAATGGAAGCTCATTCTAATTTGCCTTGTTTAGCAAATTTGGTCTTTGGACTATCATAAGCTTTAAACACACAAATAAGCAATAAGGTAAATAGGCCTCCTGTTTTTGTTCAGTTAACTTACATTAGAGGCAATGAAAAGAAACAATCACAATTAAAATGAAATTACCAAACCTACACACAAGAGTCTAAGAAAAATGCCTATTTTAGAAAAAAATGTTAAATGACACTTTTCATGTCATCAGATGTAAAAACCTAAATGACATAGGTTTTTACATCTGAACTTTGTTTTTCCTAGTACAGATATCAATGGTTGCAGGTTTCCAGCATTCTTCAATATACTGCATCTTCTCTTGTGTTCAACAGAACAAAAAAGATCAAAATGGTTTGAAACATGTTTCTTTCATGGCTGAACTATCCCTTAAATTCTTATAATAATAACCATTAACTTTGATTTTAGCCTCAATAAACTAATAATTTGCTGCTTATACAGTAGCTATTAGGTAGTTGTTAGGTTTAGGTATTAGGTAGGATAAAGAATGTAAAAACATCATGCAGTAGACAGTATGTAAGTTATAAGTACTAATAAATGGCCAATAACCTATTAATAGGCAGGTAATAAGCCATTAGTTAATATAAAAAAATGGTACCTAAACTAAATTGTTACCAAAACTCTTGACCTAAAATTGAAGCTTTTGAGGAGTTAAGAAACAGAAATGTACTGATCTTTCTATGCTCAGACATAAAATTGAAAACATATGTCATAACAGGACTTAGATGTTTCTAAGTTTTAAATGCTGCTGCTGACCTTTAGCCTGCCTGTCGTGAGACTCAGCCAGGAACTGTCGGATCTTGTCAGAGGGAATGGCGAAGGATATTCCTGCGGTCACCTTCAGTGTGTTGATTCCAATCACTTCCCCATCCTACAGCAACAGACACAAGAGTAAGGACACAAATGTAAACGTGAACTCACACAAGTGCACTGCACATCTGGATGCACAAATGTCTTCCTGTGACAATGTGATATTTCCGAAATTAATCATTATGAACGCACACATGTGTTTATGGTCACGGCTGACTCGACACAAAGTCTTAATGCCAACATATGTTCCTATGCTAATAAAGAAATGCCATAAACATCATTAAATGCAGAAAGCCAGTTTTGACTGGATTCTGCTGCTCGTGTTAATATGCTTGCATACAAGACTCAAGCTGGTTTTATTATTTGCACATGAGGAAGATATACATAACAAAGAGCAAAACTCTTACCAGATTCACCAGGGGCCCTCCGGAATTACCATACTGAAACACAGAAAGAGTGGTTTATGACAAGTGTGTCAAAATGTTTGTTCCTCTTAATCAAAAGTAGATGTTGAAGTTTGTTGCAATGTTATTAAGTTACCTTTAAGTTTAAAACTATGGTAAAAATAAATGAAAAAAGAAAGAAAGTGTATTTATGGCATGTTTTACACATTGCTAACCTAATTTAACACTGCTAGCATGAACAAACATGTTGCCAGCATGTTACTTACATGTTTTAATACATGGTTAACATGTTCTGGCTCATTTTAGCACATTGCTAACTTAATTTAACACTGCTAGTATGAACAAGCATGTTGCTAGCATGTTACTTACATGTTTTAACACATGCTTAACATATTGTAGCAAGCTACTAGAATTAATTACATGTTAACCCATTTGTAACATGATTTACTACATAGCTAACATGTTTTAGCATGTTTTTATGTTTAGCATGCTGCTAATACGCTTTAACATTATGCTATGAATTATCATGTTGCATGCATATTTTTAACATGGTTAGCAGTTGTGTATTACTATGTAAAATGAATGGGAGATTCGCATCGTGGATGTGCAGCTGAAAATCTTTTTTCTTGAATTTGCCAGTATCTTGTTGAATCTATGCCACGAAGGATTAAGGCAGTTCTAAAGGCCAAAGGGTGTTCAAAGGGTGTTTCGGTACTAGTAAGGTGTACCTAATAAAGTGGCCGGTGAGTGTATATTTAAGTCGTTAGCATATTTAAACAACTGGCTAATCAGTGTTATGTTTCAAGCAGGAATAAATATGTTACTAGCATGTTATAACATGGATAACTATACTTTAAAAAGATTACACAGCATGATTTCACCATTGCAGTGAATTAACATGTCTTTAACATGTTATCATTTTGCTATCATTAACATGTTTTAATGCATGATATTACCAAATGGCTAAATAGTATATTGTGATGTTTGTGCTTACATTGATGATGGCATCTGTCTGGATGTAGTCCATATCAGAGTTGCGCAGGCCCAGCTCTTTGCCACCTCTCTGGGTAGTGCTGACGATGCCTGTGGTCACTGTGTTCTGAAGGGAGAACGGACTGCCAATTGCCACCACAAATTCACCTGGTCTCAGATCAGCTGACCGGCCCAACAACAGCACAGGGAGCTTCATCTGCAATATTAAACAAAACACAGAATCAGGCTTTGACACAATAATCCATCCTTCAGGCCATACATTTTCTGAAAAAGTAAATGTTCTATTAAAAAAAGTTTATTAAATCAAGTTAAATTGCTAACAAAGGTTTGGCAGCAGGACCTCCTTAACCAATTCTTAACCTACTCCCTAAAATGTATTTAAGGCAGACCAGCCCTCTAACGCTGTTTCTCTCGTTTTCCCAAACCCCCCGTCACTCCCTCGATTTCCTTGCTTCCCAATAACAATCCTTATAACCCTCTTCTCCCTCCTAGGTTGAATCAGGGGGTCCAATCACTCTACCAAAATTTTACAGAGACTTTACCCCTATTCTAAGTCTCTGGGGCATCACCGTAGGACACCCAATCAACCTACTTATCCTATGTGTTCACTGTTTATCCTCTTACTTCCCTTCCTTCACATCCCACTGTTCCCTAACAATCCTTTTCATCCTTACAATAAAGTCTAGCTCAAAGTGTATAGTGGTCCATAGTGAAAAATCCATGGTGAAAAAAAACAAGGGAACCCCGGTTTTACTCCCTTTTGAGAAATTGCTCGTTTTTATGTATGGTCTCTGTTGTACCCGCATTTTTCTTCAAGTGCTCTCTGATAGTACAATCTCAGCTAAACCTCAAACCATAAAACACACCCATAATGCTTTCATCCCCATACTGCACAGCTGGTCTGAGGTTCTTCTGGTCAGTATTTGGTTCACACCAAAGATGCAGCCTGACATTGTGGCTACCTTTATTTATATGTGCTGAAATTAATGCGATGTCTTGTCCTGTATGGTGGTTTGAATCATTCAACATTCATGGATGATCTAGCAGATAATGAAAGGCCTCAAAGAGCCACATGTGGAAGCCACACACCTCTGCTGCTGAGACTAAAGCAGACCGCAGCTTTCTGAGGTTGTGTCCTCAATGTTACTCCATGATTATGTTCCAATCATTTGATCATTTTAACATATTGTATGTCTGAAGTACCTGTTGCTAGATTTGGGTATTTGATATCAAATATACCCAGGCAGCTTTTTGGAATTTCCAGAAAAGTTGCCATAATTTTTTAGCAAGTATGTTTTTATTTGCTTTTCAGTTGTTTTGAGTATGATAATCATTTATGGAAATGATTTTAGACTGACTGTAAGGCACAATAAATAAAGTTCCAGAGTAAACCAAATTTTTAATTGTGTAACATTCCATGATTTCTCAATAGGATTCGAATCAGACAAGAAAAACTTTATATGAAATTTTAGATTCTCCATCAGACATTATCATAAGATTTATTGTTATTCTTACCATATCCACCAAAAACATGCACAACACTATAGGTTTAAAAGCAGCTAAGCATACATTTATACAAAGTCTTTCTACTTCCACATACTTTCACAGCTTTGTTTATCAAGCAGCTTTTTATGTTATACCAGCTGCTAAATTATAATGTATTACCCCAGTCAAACACCGGGCCTTTGGTTCTATCAAAAGCAATTACTGACTTCGAAATAAGCAAATTAGTGCATTGGTTTTCTATGTGGAATTGTGTGGTACGGGTTTTTCAGATTATGCATCCAACTGTGAACTTTTGATTGTTTGGAAAAACAATAAATCAAAGTGTAATCAAAGCCTGCGGTGGCCACAGCTGTACGGCTGACACAATTCTGAGTCATATTAGACCCTCCCGTTTCACACTTGAGATTTCAACACCATTTCCCTTATGGCAACAGGAAGAGAGAGAGAGAGAGAGAAAGGAAATGAAGATAAAAGTGCAGAGAGATCGAAAAGAGGCTGCTCGTATCATCAAGCTGGGCCAAGACGGAAACATATTTGTTTAAAAATTGACAACAAACTCATGAAACATTTTTCTCACATGAAACAATGTCTTTTTCACACATTTGAATTTAAAACAAAATGATTTTTACAAGATATCCTTCTGAAGTCTTTTGATATCGAGTCTGTATGTACAGTTACTGCATGTGTTTTGGTATGTACATCTGTTATTTTTACAGCTTGCAGCCTAAGGATAATTCCAGATGCTGGAAAAGAAATTATGAGAATTATTTCTTATTAAAGGAAAAGAAGAATTTCAGGAAAAGCCAGAATGATGTTTGGAAAACATGTTATTTGCATGCTAAGTCAACCATCGCTACTATCATTGCTTATATTTAGGGCTGGAATTTGGAACAAACTAAACCCTAACTTAAAGTAAGCCTTTGTTTCCCACATGCTAATTGCAAACAGTGCTTCAGACTTGAATGATAAAAGCTATAGAGAAATGCATCACTAAGCAATTTATAATGGTACAGTAATTAATGGTAACTAACATTTGATTTTAGGTAAGGCGATTGGGTGTGGAGGATGATTCGGGCTAACATAAAACATAAAATGAATTGTCAACGCCAACCCAGGCTCATTCAGTAAACGTACTGCTTTACATTTCTGAATAGTGCCAAATACGTCCCAGGAGGTACGTTTTGTTGCAGTTTTTGTTCTCGCGAATACATCAGAGGCCGTTGTTTATACTTTTTGAGATCTCAAATTTCTCTCGCAAGAGCCATTCGCACCTGCTGTTCTCACGCCAATCCACCAGAGGTCGCTGTTGACTGACTGAACGATTGACCCACCCTCCTCTTTCCCTAAACCCAACCAATAGTGTTTTCAAAAGCACAGATTGACCCGCCCACCCACTTTCCTGAACCAAATCAACAGTTTTAAAAAGCAATCGAGAAAAAGAAAAGCTCTTGGCTGATTATTTACCACGTTTTCAGATTTTTCCAAATTCTCACCATTATTTACTTGTTTATTTTATTTTTTGGCTTCTGTTTTTGTCTTACCTACTTTCTAGAACTGTTCTTCACCAGACTCATACCCTGTGATTGTTGTCAACTCCTCTCTGCAGTGGTCAGTTGTTAAGCACATAAAGGAACGATGTCAAACATATTCTTCATTTTAAAGACGAAATGCAGCCATACTTACTTCTGGCTACATAATTCGCGATCTCCAGAAATGTATATAGGGCTACAGAATATATGTTTTCAGAATGAGCCTATGTTGGTCATTGTGCTACTTTTGACTGTCATCATGTCAACAAGCACAACAGCCAATGACACTGCTGTATTTCAGACTAAATTGGTATCTGTATGTATAATATGTATTTTATAGATGCATCTTTGTACATTTGTGAATCAATATAAATTGACAAATCACTGTATTTGTTTTATAATTTTTGTTGTTGTTAAACTGAGATATTATATTGTCTTCTATAAAAATTGTAGTGTGCATTTATGCATAACAAACTTGTTCAAACTGCTGCCTTGGTATGATCAAGCTGTACATATTGACACAATCAAATTTCTTGTGTTTTGTTTAAATACTTTTGTCCGCATTTACAAAAACATGGAATTACAGAGGGCTTGTAATCTCATGAAAAGCTATCCAATGATTAAATTGAATATAAAATTACAATGCAAGTTTTAGCTTCCTGCCAGTAGCGGGACTTCTATGGCTCGTGTCCACTGACTGGTACAGTACGGTACGCTACAGGTTGGTACTTTTTCAGGCTTGCGTTTCCACTACCAAGGGTATCCTTTTGATGGGCGTGGTTTACGACAGAGAGTTTCAGTTGATGTCATTCTCACTCGTTTACAAATCATATGAGAAGCACTTCTCACAAAACAAATGCTTGAAAACATATAAACACTTGTGTATAAATGTTTATTACTTTCTATGAACATGATTTGATTATAACTGCAGATCAAAATAGCTTACTGTAACGCCTGCAATTATATAAAATAAATAAATAAATGCAACACATATGAACACATACAGACCCTTATAGTCTCCGATATGATACCAATTACAGAAAAACTACACACAGTATACATATAGTTCTTATTTGAGTTTAAAAACAACACACAACATAGCCCACAGTCAAACCTCTCATCTGTGTCTGTAACCTACAGTACATCAGCACATGTAGCCTCTGTTAGAGAGTAATTTTGTCATTCTGAGTTCATAATAGTCCAAAAGGCGATGATAAGCATGATAGCTGCTGAAACAATTTGCTCCTGTGTTTTGTCGAGCTTCTTCTTTTTTTTTCGCGATTTACTCTCGCGTTTGTCCTTTTCTTTTCTGGAAGAATTAGATGTCAAAGATACTTCGATAATCACACACACATTATTATTATCAGCTCAAAAAGTTTGCTAAATGAAAGATTGACGCGATCGCAAGCTCTCTGGAGAAAGCGAAAACAGCTGACTCTTTTAAACAACCTCGTAAAACAACAACAGGACACGGCAGATTTTGTTCTTCTTTTTCTTTGTGGCTGTTCATCAAGACAACGACAAGGTTTGTTTGAGCTCGGGTCATCCATGGCTCATTATATGCATATAATACTCGATGTAATGTATCAGCTGTGTATTAAATACATAGCCGTTCCTTTGTTTTCATTCTGGCTAGCTCCATGAGCTCGTGACATATCTCTGTAACCAATTAGCGTTCAGCTATGTGTGTAGCTCCACCTTTTGGTACCCTTTCTTGTGTTTGGTACCCTTTCGAAAGGGTGCCAGAAAAGTGGTACGATACGGTTTGGTTTAGTACGCCTTTTGACAGTGGAAACGGTCATAAAAGCAAGCCATACCAAACCACTCTGTGGAAACGGTCCAACAGAGAGTATTTAATTGGTCAGAAGCTTAAGTATGCAGCAAAGTCATAAAAATTGTTGATGAGAAACTGCGAATTCTAAAAGCTTCTGGCTTCTAAATGCAAAATTTATAAATCATTTGACACATATCAACACATACTCAAAAGTCATTGATGACCACTGTTTAGTCACATCTCACTTTAAAGTGAATCTTTTAAAGAACATGGTGTACACTACAGTCTTTTGTCTCTGAATCCCAACACCAATATTTTAATGATTTAATGAACCAAGAAATCATGACACATGATGTAAGATTTAACAACCATATTTTTACAAGCCTG